CAATGTCATCTTTGACAATTAGCTTTGGTTGTTCAATGCCATCTTTGACAAGTAGCTTTGGTTGTTCAATGCCATCTTTGACAACTAGCTTTGGTTGTTCACTACCATCTTTAATAAGTAGCTTTGGTAACAGTTGGCCTTTCTCTTCGTCTACTTGACCATTGTTTTCTGTGTAACATCTTAGTCGTACTTCTAAAGCGTTTGATAATATCATTTGCAAGTTATGTATGTTCGTCCTTTCCAACCCTTCCAGTTCCTCAATGTCCCATATGCAATCTGCATTACTGTTCATCAAGTGCAGTAAGTTGTTCACTACAACACTTGGTAAGCGGTAAATCTCCTTCTTGACATTAAGTGATGTTTTCTTTATCAGTTCTTTCTTGTATTTACTGTCATACATTTTTTTTATACAGGAGTGTTTGACCAAGTCTTCATTAAGCTGTTTTTTTATTAGCTTTAAAATTGTCTCTCTTCGAGCCTTATTTTCCTCGAATGCTTTTTTCAAATCATCCTCAACAGATTTGTTTCCATATAGTGTCGTAAAGTCCCCTTTGAAGAAGAATAATTCCCTTTTTAGATCGCTTTCTTCCATTTCACAATAGTTCGCTATGAATGCAGCTTTTGTATTTGTCAATCGGAAGCGGTTATTTTGTGGACTGATGTAATAGGGTGTTTTATTTGCATTTGGCATCAGTCCATCAAATGAGATTCCCTGTTTTGTATTAACATAACTTCGTAAGTCAAGGTACCAGTCCTTTGTTTTGTCATTGAGGTCAACGTCATTAAGTGACGGTACTGACATTGCTGGGAGGACGGTTTCACCAAATGCTAGGAACTTCAGATGAAGAATCATAACCATCTTGTTTATGGTTTCTCTGTATCCAGGCTGCATTTCCAAATCATCCGAATTTTGCACTACAGCAAATTCTACATCAGAGAAAGGTGTTGTTTCTTTTCTTGAGAATGACCCAAAGGCAATTAAGGCGAAGTCATTATCGTGGAAATTTAGGAGATCCAAACTCTGCTCTACCAGACATTGTATGAACGTTTTCATTTCCTGAAAGATCCACTTAAATATCTCTCCAATGTGTTTTATTCTCTCTACTTCACGTTTCGTTTTTTCTTCTTCAATTGTGATTCCAGTTTCATAACAGTGACATTCCTTGTTTTTATCAATCTGTAAGATTCTTTCTTTCAATTCACTTCGTATTGCTTCAAGTTTGTCTTTATTCGTTTGTTCATCTTCAATGTATTTGTTTGATACATCTGTTCCAACGCAACATTTGAAGAAAAGTTCAAGAGTAGATCGCCTTTCTTTTTTATATTCAGATACCTCATCAGGCAGGTCAGCTCCGCATTGCACTATTCCTGTTTCATAAATGCTGATTGCCTTAACATACCCCATTGGTTTATTTTCGATTTCAGCAATGTCTTTATGAAGATTACCAAGTTGCCTCAACAGCTGCATATGTTTCAGTCTATCACGTTTCCATTCCTCTTTAGAGACATTCCCTGGATCCTTTTGTAAATTCTTGTTTATTGATGGGATTTCTTTAAGCGATTTGGCTATTTCAAGTTCTCTTATTTTGAGTTGGTCGAGTATTAATGTCTTGTCTGGGTACTTTTTCCTTAACACCCGGATGTATGTTTGTAATTGCCTGATGGCAGCTTCGTTTTGGGACACCTGCAATGCATGCAGTATTTTTTATACAATTTTTAGTTGAAATATATAATATCTAGTAGTCATATTGCAATGATATTAAGGCAATAACCTATAATAAATGTTACTAAAAATTAGGCAATACTCCTTTTTTGCTCATTTATTCCTATCTCATAGTGGTCAGACTGTTTAGATAAAATATTACTTATTTTTTATACAATTTTTAGTTGAAATATATAATATCTAGTAGTCATATTGCAATGATATTAAGGCAATAACCTATAATAAATGTTACTAAAAATTAGGCAATACTCCTTTTTTGCTCATTTATTCCTATCTCATAGTGGTCAGACTGTTTAGATAAAATATTACTTTTTTTTTGGTTTTGTCTCTTTTTTTTTTTTATTGCGATTTATTTTCTCCAATCATTTTACATAATTTTATACATTTCTAATATTACATTCTTGATCAAACAAGCACAGTAAATTGGGATAATCCCCATATTTGTACTTACTTATACAATTCTTGGCAATAACAATGATATAATTGATGTAGTCTTCTTCCTTTTTTATTTTACATTCATACTTGAATAAAATGTGTTTGTGTCCTAATCTAATTCTGTGCCCAAATCTAGCATTCAATTTGCACTCTACTTCATTCCATAAAAACTTTACTCTTTTGCAAGAAATGAAAAAGTGTGCATATGAATCTTCCTCATTACAATATGTACAATTCTTTGAGGCAACTCCTTCAATTTTCCATTTGAAAAGGTGAGTATTAGTTGGGTAAATATTATGTAAAATCTTATATTGAATGCTCTTAAGTCGTGGCTCTTTGAGAGTTTGAATTAACTGCCAATTTCTTTTCCAATTTAAATCTGGATAAATATGTTTCCACCTTTCAATGCAAATAGGCACAACTTGGTCTTTCTTTAGAATCATTTTCCTTACATCCTTTGAAGTTAGGTTTTTTATCTTTACATTATTATACATCTTCTCACCTTTTGATCTATTCATACAAATTTTCTTATTAATCATTGCATTGCGAATTACATTGTATTCCAGAACAATGGCTGCATTATTTTGCATTTTTTGTTTGAAAAATTCTAATGACTTAACATGTTTATTTGTATCCAGTATGTCAGCAACATAATTGATACCTGCATCCTTCCATTGTTTAAAATACATTTGTTTATGTTTGAACACAATGCATCGATTATTCCATAATAAATCTGTTTTACAGATTTCTTCATCATACTCTCGATATTTGAACCATGTCTTTAATAGAAAGGAGTAAAATTCTGGGAGCATATCTAGGTTAATTTGAGGTTTTAGATCTTTCAGATCTGAGTTACATATAAAAATATCAAAATCATGACCTGTTTTGGCTAAAATTATTTTACTAACACCTTTCCACATTGAATAAAATATTACTTAGTTTGTTTACTATTTTGGGGAGTTTTTGTTGTTTTCCGGTCTCGAAATAATGGTGAAGTGTTCATTATAATAAGTGTTATTTAGAAAGAAAGTGATGAAGGTGTAAAAATTCTTAAAAGGGCCGGTTTTGTTTGGCACATCATTATAAAACAGAAAATAATGCTACCGAACTACCAGTTTACAGTAATACAATAAATCGATGCTGATTTCACGAAAGGCTATTCAGATTATTTTATTCCCAATATGAAGAAGTACATGTACAGGGTGGGCCAATAAAAACGTCCACATTTTTTATTTCTGTAATACATGTATCTTTCCCAATATGTTAAAAATATCCTAAGATTATGTATCATTAGAAAGATAATTCAATTTCCAACGAAATGATGCATGGTTCTAAAATATGAATGGTTATTGGTTACTCCAATGTCATTTCCATATTATGAGGTAGTGACAGTTTAAAACAAGATTTTGCTATGTTTTGAGCTTATTTAAAGAATAAAGACCAAGATTTTATGATTTATGGCGTGATATATGACCGAAAATTTTATTCTTTTCATTGTTAAAAGACCAAAATCGCGAAGCGATTGAGGTCTTTGGCAATGGCCAGAATAAAATTTGAGGTCCTGCATGTATATTTGACATAAATCACAAAATCGAGGTATTTGTTACGACTCTAATATGATAAACAGACAAGAACTGTTTGCATTTATGATTTTTAGCGGTCATACATACTCCAATATAGACCAGTTAATCAATTGTTTTACCCATTGTGACGTCACGTATCATATTAGAATGCATAATATTGCATTGCTTAATCAACATTTTGACATAGGACTTTGACATAGAAAGAAAAAAAATTGGAGTTGAATTTTATTGTTTTTAAATCATTTTGGAGCTCTAAAATAATCAGGGAACCTATTTTTATGTATTGTAGCTCGTTATAAAGTTAGATTGTTAGATGCATTGAGATTTGCTTCTAACACCTTTTGCAAAGAAACTCGGTGGAAATTTTGCCATAACTCACGTTGTGGAAAACATTTCTATTATTTCTTCTTCTGGCGTCTATAATTGCATAGTCTGCCATCTAAAAATGTAAGCTAAGTTAAGTTATACCAACATCATCATTGACCATTTCATGATGATTTTAGCCTTAAATAGGCATTATCTACAAAATGTCTTGAAACTGAGTAAATATTCAATAGACTTGATGCGAGTATAAATAATCTTGATTTACGTCATTAAATATTCAACATTTAGTCAAAGTGATGTCATTTTTGAAATCTGCATGTAAAAGCACATCTAGAAATATGGTTTTAAAAATTGTTTATCAACTTTGAATATTTGACTTTTTGTTCGGGTTGATTCCCATAGACCCCCTGTTACAAAATTAGGCCAGGACATAGCATGGGTTTTGGGAAGTTCAAGGGCCACTTGATAGACATAATGTTTCTAAAAGATGACTTCATTTAGCATCAATTCATATATGTCTGGGTCTTTTTAGTTTGTGGACGAAGGATTCTGAGCAGTTTTACCCCCCTAGAATAATATTTCAGGGGGGTACTATATTATCATTCTATTAAATCAGTTATACATTAACTATAGCACTGATTTATAGATATTATGTTGCTAGCACTGTAGTCAAGTGTTTCCTAAAGTTATAGGGAGATATGTTGATCGGTTTTGACAAAAACCCAATTTATAGTAATAAATAAGCATATTTTCATTCGTTTTTTAGTCTCGCCAACTTTATTGTTGCAGCTTTAGAGAAATAATTGGCACCAATACTGCTTTAAGGATCTAGGAGTAATCTAAAATTATTTCCAATCTATGTGGGGAATTGTAATATAAAGAATGTAATGATACAATACTATTTGGAATTTTAAATATGGCTTTGTTGATCCCTACCCCTTAGAAATATGAGAAAGTGAAGATGGCACAATTAGATAAGAAATTCTATAATGAGTACTAATACTTCTCCAAGTAGCATTTTAAAAATGTATGTGTGATATGAAGAGGTAATTTAATGGGAGGGATGGAATATGAATTTTATTCTGAGGAAAAATATGATATTGGCCAAGGAAAACATCATATTGACTGAGGGCAATAGCCGGAGTGTTAATATGATAGTTCTCGAGGTGAATAAAATAAATAAAATTCATATTCCACCAACACCATCAATAACCTATTTATTAAATTGTTTTTTTTCTGAAAAATAAAAATCAAGAGAAATCCCCGGGAATGGTTCTGATATAGGATCTGATATGTGATTTAGGCTGATACAGGATCCAATACGGGATCTGATATAGGAATCTAGCTATAATATGGGATCTTTTGAATATCAATTCTATTCCCTGTTTATTTCCCAGGGAAAACATGCTATTATGGAATAATGTTATAATTTTGTAATGATCAACTGTTTTTTTTTGTTTTTTTTCTGGATGCCTTTGTTAGTCTAAAGGGTCATTTCTTCATGTTAAATTCTTGTTTTTATATTTTTCTTTTTCTAAAAATTTATCAAGAATTTCTCTTTATAAGTCAAGGTCTTACGATTCTTATTCAGATGCATCAGTCTGCATTTGTATGCTCATTATTTCATTTAATATATCCTTAAAAGTACAATAATTTACATCCGAATGATGCCTTGAAGCATGAGCTCTGTCTAGTCCACCATAGCTTACCCAGGCAGGCACATGTGCGATTTTATCAGCTAAGGGATTCCTTCCAGGGGAACAGGTAATTGCTATTGAGTCTATGCTGTCAATCTTAAAACTAAACATAGTTTAATAGGGAATAGCCACATCAGCATCTTCTATATCCCCCCCGAGGAAAATTCGTATATGATTTATTCATGAAGGGATTATATATTTTATTTGTTTACCCCCCAGTCCCACTCCGTTCATGAGTATATACTCACTTACTTCAAAAGTAGTTCATAAAGCAAACCTTTTAAAGCCATGGCAAGATTCTACAGTTGATACATTTCACCCATTTCTCTAGGGTTAAGAAACTGTACAATGTTTGTGGTTTGTGCTCCCAAGGAGAATTTTAATCTACAGTTGTACCTTAACTTCCCCTCACCCCATCCATTAACAGAGAAGGAAAATTCTTATATGACTTATCCCTCCCCAATTCATCGATAGAGGATGGCTGATGGACATGATGGCTGATGGTGCTCCCAAGGAGAATTTTAATCTACCTTAACCTCCCCCTCACCTCATTCATTAACAAAAGGAGATGTAAAATGTCTCCACCTGCCATTTGCTACAGATGTCAACCATTGACTGCCAACTACCAACCCTCTAACACCACCCACAAAAAACTATAACAAAAGGAGATACACAGCAGTCACTTATTCCAAAAGTATTTCTAATAACTAAGCCATAAAGGGATTCTACAGTAGATAAAGTTCACATATACATATGTACCTCCGAGGGTGATGTGTGGAACTGTTTACAGTTTGTGCTTCAAAGGGAAATCGTAATATGACTTATAAAGCTGATATGTATATACTACCTCAGAGGGTCATGTTTGGAACTGTAAACAGTTTTTTCTCCCAAGAAAAAGGATAGGTATCGATATGGTGAACTG